GTTAAAATCAGACAAAAAAAAATATGTGATTGTGTTTAATTATTTTTTGGACTCCCCTTGCCAAAATTTCTGGCTTCGCCCAGTACATGAAGATAGTAATAATGTTCTAACATAGAGATTTCCGAAATGTTCTTTTGTATCCTCCTCTAATTTTTATCTTGTTATGTTCCTCTGTTTTTTATCTGAAAATTATAACTTCATCTTTCCTCCATTATTAAAATTCGTATGTTATAATTTCACATTACGCGGTAATTTGCATGTTAAATATAATCTTTGAGAAGTCTAATGGAATGTTTAGAGTGTTTGTTGGAAAATTTGTAGTGCAAGAAAATGAAGGAAAATTGATTTGTATTCCTTTAATCTCAGTTACAATTAGATTTCCTGATTACAAAAGAGAAGAGAATGATCTGGATTCTCCCCTTTGTTTAATTCTGGGTTCTTCACGGTGGCGATGGAGTGCCTCCCTCGAATGCTCGCGTTGAGTTTGCTCTCCGTTGACGATCCGACGTTTTACTTCACTGGAACGATGTCTTCTCCTCACGGTTTGACGCTGTGGAGAACTTACAAAGCAAGTTTTAGAACTCTGAATGAGTTTAGAAGAACTCTGTAAAAGAGTTGATTTGAACCAAAAATCGGTTAATAAGCCAAGGCCAGCAGAAAGCTCCGGTGGTCGATCTCCAAAGCTTCAGCAATTCCCCAAAAAGCCAGCGATCCCCCAAAGAGAGAGCCAAGATCTCTTCTTTTCTGTCCCAAAATCCAGGATCTAAACTCGGTTGAGTTTCGAGGTATTTATAGGGGATTAAGGGGGTGTAACCGCCTCCTTAATTTGCTCCTAAATGGGACTGAGTGGGGTGTAACCGCCCCCCTTAAACAGCTCCCCAAATCGTGGGGAAAACGGTTTTGAAACCGTTTAGTTCGTGCTTTGAACGAGTCAAAACGCCAAATTGGGCGTTCTGGGCCCGAACTCTGCGTTTTAGACATCAAAACGCGGAGTTAGGCCTGTTTTAGGCTGAAAACGCACAGTCAAAACGCGGAGTTAGGCCTGTTTTAGGCTGAAAACGCACAGGTCGCACAGTGTTGTGAACTCTGAAATGCAGAGCTGGGCTCTGCATGAACTCTGCGTTTTGAGTCCACGAACTCTGCGTTTTGACTCTGGAATGCAGCCACGACCTCTGCGTTTTGAGTCTGGAAAGCAATCATGACCTCTGCGTTTTGATGTTATAACACAAGGATGACATCTGCGTTTTGAGGTTATAACGCTGGTTCGACCCGTGCGTTTTGATGTTGCAACGCAGGTCCGACCCGTGCGTTTTGATGTTGCAACGCAGGTCCGACCCGTGCGTTTTGACTTGAAGAGACCGTCGATTTGTGGTCTCTTTTGCTAGAGCGTTGCAAAGACCGTTGTTGAGTGACCTTCGCCTTGGCTGCTCGAAAATATGAGAGTTGTCAGATTGTAACTCCCGATGTTGATTGTGAAGGCTATTGAACTAGAGCTTTCATCGGTTGTTGTGAAGGTCGTCAGATTATAACCTTTATCGATCTACGTGAAAGTCTTCGAATCTTCTGGAAGTCGTCAGATTGTAACTTCCATCATCGGTGTTTGATGGGGGATCAGCTATCTATTGTGATTATTGTAACTTCCATCATCGGTGTTTGATGGGGGATCAGCTATCTATTGTGATTTTTAGACAGCCTACAGAACCCCCTCTAAAGTTTTCGAAAGTTCGCGGTTGACTGAGACGAATTTTCGGAATACTTTGGATCTCAACTCTGATCTTGGAGCTGTTGATTCCTTATCGTAAGGGAGTTGTTCTCTGCACTCGCTTTAAAGACATCTTGGTTGAAGGGATTTGCCACGTATACCCGTGTGAAGGTATGCGTCATAATCCTGCTTCTGGAATGCGGGGGTGGACCCCTGTGTTTTGAACTTGAGATGCGAGTGTCACCCTTGCGTTTTAAATTTGGAACCCGGGTGTGACCTCGGCGTTTTGGTGTTTGCAACGCGGGTCTGACCTTGGCTTTTCGACTTGAGACTCGTAGGTGGCTCTCATGCATTTTCTGACTAAGTCTTTGAGACTTGTCTTTAGCTCATCTGTTTCAAGTCTTGGCTCACATCCATTAAGCTGATGAGCATGTAAACATGCATAGGATTTTTGGCAAACCGTCAGCCATCAACGGATTTGATAAGCCTTTACCGACTACCGTTTGAGTCGGGCTAGCATGTGAATTATCTAGGTTCGTTCCACATGTAACGTTGTGCTAAGAGAATGAACCCTCTTAGACTTGATGCTATGATTTTGAATACAAAGACTTTGTTATTTTGACGGGAAAAGACTAACCGGCAACGCGTGTTAGGCATAGACTTATCTCTAATTAGGGATCAAAATAAAATCCCCCATGCGTGTAAGACATGGATTTTAGCGTTATTAATAAAGACTTGTCACGATGTTGAATACGTGGGCTTTGCTATTTTCACGGGAATACGCTACCCGGCAGCATGTGTTAGATGCAGACTTATCTCTATTTAGGGATCAAGATAAAATCCCTCATGCGTATAAGGTATGGATTTTAGTGCTACGATGTTGAATACGTAGACTTTACCATATTGCGGGACAGTGTTTTCAAATGCGCGCGCCTCATTGCGCCTTACGATGCGGGGCGGTGGCGATGCGCCCCACATCTGATGCAGCAGCGCCTTTTGCGCCTCGCGTACATCCGTACTTTGTGTAGGATGCATGTAGTGCATTTCCTCATATAGTTTTTTTTGTTAACATTTCAATCGAGTCTTTATACTTGATATTCCATATCCCAAAAAACAAAATAAATCCATTGGGCTTTTTTAATAACCTTCAATTGAGGGCCATTACTAATCCTTAGTTTGGATATAAGTCTTGATTTAACATTTGATTTGAAAATTTATGAAATTTGCTACTATGTTGGGTGTTAGCATTAGAAATTAAGGCAATATATTGTGATTTTGTAGCAAGATATTATTTATCATAATATTTTTTAAGTAAATTCTAAAAATATGTTCTTTCGTGCTTGATTACATATATTGAAATATTATGTGTGTGGTGTGCGCCTCGCATCACTCGGGCGCGCGCATCGCGTTACGCCTTGCGCATGTGCGCGTAAAGATGCTTTGCGCCTCGCGCATTGAAAACACTGTTGCGGGAATGAACCACCCGACAACATGTTTTAGATGCAGACTTATCTCTAATTAGGGATCGAGATAAAGTCCCCCATGCGTGTAAGGCATGGATTTTGGTGTGATTAATAACAACCTGCCACGATGTTGAATACGTGGGCTTTTGTCTTTCTTACGGTCAAAGACTAACCGGCAACGCGTATTAGGCGTTGACTTATCCCTACTTAGGATTCAGGATAAAATTTCTCATACATGCAAGGTATGGATTCAGAGATTATTAATTTAATGATAATCACTGGCTACGATATTGAATACGTAGAATTTGTCACTGTTTCTTCCTGTGTTACTTGAAACACTGAAAGAAAGTTGGAAGCGCCAGAGGTGTAGTATTAACTTGACATAAATTTTTACTTAGAGTGAAATTCATAAATTTTCTTGGTTATCACTAGGATAATTTCAGAAAATCTTTAATCCACTGGGAATTTTATGATGAAAACTTGCTATTCTTGTTGAAAAAGGATTAACAACAGAAAATCTTTAATCCACTGGGAATTTTATGATGAAAACTTGCTATTCTTGTTGAAAAAGGATTAACAAGTTCATTGGAGAGGGTTTGACTGTTAGAGGTGTGATATTAACCTAACAGTATTTTATGGGCCTATCGCTCTATTGAAGAAAGTCGATAGGTTGATTTGGTGTTGTCAGAGGTGTGATGTTAACTTGACTGGAATTTGTGGACCTATCGCTCTATTGAGGAGAGTCGATAAGTGGATTGTGTTGTCAGAGGGTGATGTTAACTTGACGGGTTTGGACCTATCGCTCTATTGAGGAGAGTCGATAAGTGGATTGTGTCGTCAG